ATGAAGTAAATTCAAATGATGAGGCCATGGTGAAGAAAATGATGAGAGTCCTCTCCTGGTGCTTGAGATTTGGACGCGAGCATAACTTTTAACAGTCTGTACAATGTTTCAGAATCAGACCTCTAAAGTAATAATTCTGCAACCAGTTTGAAGCATAGCACAACTGTGACCGGAATTGTAAAACAATAGAAGATACACAACTTATAGTCTTGACTGAAGATTCTTTCTTTTCGTGGAACTATGTTACAGTGTTTAAACTATGGTATTGAATGATGAGCCAGCAGTTCCAAATAACCCTCACTGGCAGGTAATGGTCCTAACTGATCGAACAGTAGGCCCATTCTATGCATTTGATACAATGGTTTAGTGTCCTCTTTACTGTGCTTCCCTTTGTACAATATGGTAAGACTTATACTCTATGTCATCTGTCGTAATGTAAGTGGAAAAAATGTTTTTGGTTAGCTGCTTTTGTGTCCAATGTTCTTTAATGTTTAGACTTGAGCCTGCAAGGCACTGGCATTCGGAGGAATTGCAGGACTTTCTGCATTGATATTACTGTCTCTTCTGGAGAACCTCCTGTTTGGATTGCCCCATTTTTTCATTGCGGCTAACATTATCGTCCAGTTGGTTTTGCGTTCAGCCACTGATTTATGAATGAAAAAAGTGTAAATCACAAGAGCAGTTGTTGATGTCCCTCCCGTGAACACGAATAGTACCCAAAAGCTGTTGGGGCTTAGACTGGGATCACCACTGTCTTTTTGTGCATCCAAGTCCAAGCACTTCAGAGAGGCCAGCATGCTGTTCTCTAAATCTCGAAGCTTACCACTTTCGGTTACCTTTAGCATTGCTTCAGTTACCTCGGGAACCAATGGAGAGCCTCTTGGAAATACCTGTGATATAAAAGTTTATCACAATCTGTTACGTAAATAAAAGTTTCATCGAAGAGTAAGGAGATTAACTTCGTGAGAGGCTAGAGCATTACGAATCCAAATCCTCCAACTTTGAATGTTGGTCCAGCTTCCATGAAGACTTTGCAGTACTTTCGAAGGAAAATTTTGGCCAGAGGGAGAGGCTAGAGCATTACGAATCCAAATCCTCCAACTTTGAATGTTGATCCAGCTTCCATGAAGACGTTGCAGTACTTTCGAAGGAAAATTTTGGCCAGAGGGGCTTCAAGAAAAGCAGCAGCAATTACTTCACTTTTGAGGGCTTCAGCATATTCTTCTATGGAGTCAAACTGCTTAATGTTGTGGATGTCCAAGACTTCCCTTAGATAGGCTGAAACAAAGGAACCCTTACAATAACCAACCATGGCATTGCTTTGCCGCAAAGCGTCAACATCTGTTATGGTGGGTTCAAGCTGCTGGACAGTGAGCATGCTCGCGAGGTTAGCCGTATATGTCTGTGTGATGATTAGTGCCATAAATAGCCAGACAACCATTGTCATCCGTGACAAATTGCTATGCAGCTTACCCCCTTTGCTCAGTCAAATGGAGTAAATGATATTAGGTACATATATAATCTAATCCAATTTTCGAAGGAAAAAATTTGAAATTGAACTTTTATATTGATTACCATGTAAAGAGAAGAGAGTGGTGAAGGATAGCCAAATCAAGCTTCCTATTTGATTTAGCACAGAACCTTTGAGTTTGGGGCAGTGGTTTCGTTCTATCAACCATACAACAAAGCCATTGTAGATATTGATGGCTACTATAAGTGCCCACATAGGTTTTGTGAAAGGCCTCATGAATAACCATGCTTTATTGCATGTTTTGGACATGACTGGAACTATCATTACCAATCCTGCTTCGGTATAGGGGTGTGTGAATTCTGCATGCTCATACCGCCGGGACACGATTGCTACATCACCAACTACAGCATCAAATTTCTGATCCAATGCACGGACAGTTCCAAGTCAAGCTAGATTAGTTTTAGTGCTTGAAATATAAATGTGCAGTTTGGAACTAATTACTCAAGTTAAGAGACTAGAAAGTAAGTAAATCTCTTACATGTAAATGGATTTGCTCCACTAAAGAATCATATGTGCCATTGAAAGGACATAACTCATACGGCAAATAGTAAGGCAGCTCCTCTAGGGTCGCTTTGAAGAGATCTATTGCAAGTCCAGTGAAAGATAAGTTATTTCCCAACGGATCTTTTTCCACATTTACATACTCTTTGAATGTTGATCCGTTTGGCACGCCAATTCTCAGTGCGGTTGCTTGTATTGGTACATTCCACCCTTTTGGAGTATACCAAGGCTCTCCTGGCCAAACCACTGGCCCCAAATCTTTCATAGAAGAGTAGTTACTAGCACTTTCACCAATAGTCTTCGAGAATCTTATTCCATCTGACCAGTATCCTAGTTCTCTGTAACTCCTTCCCACCACATTGATGATTTGAAATACATGTTGTGGAGCTAAGTTTTGGTCAGTGAACTTGATTCTTCCACTTAAGCCATGCAAATCACTTCTCAAAAGTTTTGCTAACAGTTTCCTCCCTTTGCTGCCTTCTGTCGAAGCTAGAGCCACTGCCCTTGCAGCATCGTAAGCCTGAGCAGCAAAGATGCCAGGCTCATTGTTACCCTCTTCAGGATGTTCTGATCTAAACCTTCTACAAAACCTATGATAAAAATCCTGAAATTGGTTTCCACTTTCAGGGAAGTAGCTCTTGACTCCGATGATCCCTTGCATTGAGGAGATGCTGGAGGCATTAAAGGAGTTGACAAGGCTTGTTATAGGATCAGTGGTGATCCATACATAATCCTTTTCCATCATCTTCATTTCTTTTGCCTTTTCAAAAAGTTGTGCCGCCAATGGCACAGACAAATGCACAACAAAGACTCTACATTGGTCTTTTTGAAGCTTCTCAAGCTCTTCGATTAATGAAGAAGAAGCAAAAGGTTGGAGAGCTACAAGATGGCTAATTTCTGCACCAACTTGTCTCAAGGCATAAGAGAGATGAGGTAAAACTTCATTGGCCAAAGAATCTCTGTCTTGGTAAATTACAGTGACTCGATGCCATTCCCAAGACTGAACTATATCAGCTATTGCTTCCATTTGTTTCAACCGGTCGCGAGAAGCTTGAACTAGAAAAGGCCACAGCTCAGTTGCCCACTTTGGAGTAGCCTCAGCAAAAGAGACAATTGGGGTATTAGTCTCACTGCCAACCTTAACTACTAATGATGTCTCTTCCCATGTATGTGGTCCTAGAATGGCTTGCACTTGCTGCCCATCTATAAGATCTCTAGCTGCAGATTTGATAAGTGCAATGGCATTGGAAATGTAAGCTGCTTTTCATTATAAATATTGCCTTGGAGAAAAGCACTTACAGAAACTATAGCAGTCAACTATTTACCTTATTATGAATTTTTCAAGCCAAAAAATTTAAGACCAAATAAGAGGGAAAAATAAAATGCAGACATAAAAAAATGGACTGAATTCATAATTACCAGATAGTTACTGATAAACATATATAAAACTTATGCTTAAACCATAGACATATATAGCTTAATTAATTAGGAAGGGAAAAAGCCTACCTGCAAGTGCTGCCTGCAAGGGGTCCTCCCTCTGAGAGTTTCTTATGTGCAGAGCCAATCTCTGATTTCTATTGGCATAAAAATCCTCAACTGCCATTTCAATTGCCACCCTCTCTTCTTTGCCAATTCTTGAACTGTTATCTATAATTGCACCTATTATGCCCATTCTGGGTTCATTCTCTGGTTTATTGGCTCTTCCTTCCCTCAACACTAAAACTGTGATCAAGAAATAAAAAAGAGGAGCAAATCCAGACATTTTTTTGGAGGACCTTTCCTATTGAGAGGGGTGATAATATACTAAACTCACACACACAACACAGATGCTAGGACTCGAACCCAGATCTTTTTTAAGAATGTCTGCAAGTATCTCTCTTCCTATTTATATGCACAAGAATTCTGTCATATTATTTTACTCAGTCAACAGAAACATTATTCCTTCCTTCCTCTTCTTTGGTCGTAGGTCAACATTAGGAATTAATCAATATACTTTGGTCATTTTCTCCTCTTTTGCTTCATAATCAATATATATATATATATATATATATATTTTGGTCTAAACCCTATATATATTTGTGTTCTAACTTCAAAAGGTCTAGTTTCCATGTATGGCAAACCAGAAAAGAAAAATACAAGTGAACCAAACAAATTGATACTTGTGGCCCTTTAAATTCAATAATATTCTGGAACATAACGTCAGGGTTTTATTATAAATTGATGAAAATGAAATTACATTTGAGTAGTGTTTAACTTCTGTTGACTTGCTTATATACTAGCACCAGAAGATTGGAATTGGTAATGTGAGAAGTACCCCTTTAATTTCATGGTTATGTCTTAGTAGTTTCCCTTCATACCAGTCCAAAAGACTAAAAAAAAAAGTGTCTTACTTTGAATTGTTCACTTGGGATCCCTTCAAGCATAAAGTATAGAGATATTCTAACTCTTGGATTTGCAAACCTCAACTAATAATCTATTTATCTAATTTGTTACTTTTTACTTTTACTGAAATTCATATTTGTTCTATGCATGTAATGTTTATTTATTTGTTCAGAACCACTAGTTTGAATTAATTTATGCACGCCAATTTGTTGGTACCCCTGTCTCGTAGTGTATACGTACATACGTCATACTCTGCCCTATTTTGGAATTATATAATTTTGAATCTTAGAATATGGAAAATCATGGCATATGGACTGAGTCAGTTCTACAATTACAGAATCTTAGAATTGAATCACGACCTCTGATTCTAGATATATTTTGTTCTCAAAGAATAGAAACTTCGTTTATATTTTTCTTTGTTATTTTATTTAATAATTTTGACTTATTTAAGCTGATAATTTGTTTGATAAAATTTGAGGAGTGTAAGACCCACAAGTTTGGAGAGGAAGAAGTATATCTTTGAACTTGGACTCCAGTACTTACTTTGAAATTAATCATACACTGCATGCATGCATGTAGGCTTTAAAATGAATATATCTACCATTAACAACAACAAAAAACAAGAGAAATTGCGCAAAACACTACCCAACTTATAATTATTTATTAAATAAAACAGTATAAATACTAGATGGTATATATCTACCATTAGCACAAAGTTACTTGCCACGTCATCAATTTAACAGTATATTAGACAATGAAATTGACAGAATGTGTAAATTGATGATCAAATGTTAAAACCTATAGGGTATAAAATGTCGTTGGCCCTAATTTTATTTTTTTTTCTTTCAGGTTCTTGGATTTTCTCCATCCAGATCCAGTGAGTATATGTTGGATCCCGTAAATATAAAGTTAAATTGTTTGAAAATCTAGTCTTACTGGTTGAATTTTGGACTTTTCTTGATTTGTTTTTTGGGAAATTGGGCAAAATACTATCCCTTTGCAAACTTTGGCGGCCAAATACTACCAACCTTATAATCATTTATCAAATACTATGTATAAATACTGTCTTATCGCCTACTTAACACTTTTTCTCACTTTTTCTTTTCCCTCTCAGCTCTCTCTCTCTCTCTCTCTCTCTTTTAGCTCTCAAAGTTTCTTTTCTCTGTTGTTTCTTGCAAATCAAACTCAAGCACTCAGTCAATAGCAATAGGTTTGTTTACCCTTTCTTGGAATGAATTTGGTTAACTGATGATTGTTTCATGCCTCTTAATTGATGATTCTCTATGTCTGTTTTTGGGTCTTTTGATTTCCACCTAAAATCCCATTTCAATCTCTTCATGTGTAATTAATTGCTTACCCAACCAGTCATTTTCACAGAGCGGCAAAATTCAACATCGCTGCAGTTGGCTTCTGGTGCTCTTCGACATTCACGGTTCCTGCTTGATCACTTCGTTCTGCCAAACCACAACACGTTTTAACTTCGTTTTATTTTCTCTTCATTTAGTACACGGTAAAAAGCCCAAAACAAAAAAATCTACTGGTGCTCCTGATAAATAAATGTGCCCAAAACTGAGGTTTTCAATTCTTCTGCTCAACCGAAGCACCAAACTTGTCCTAATCAATTTTCTTGCTCTGTGTTATATTGATGTGTTACTGTAATTTAATAGGAATAATTGTTCTTCTGAATCGCGAAACCCACCTCGTAGCTCAACTCCATCATGGACATCCAGCTGCGACCTTAAAAGCCAAGCCACCAGGTTCTGCAGAAAATACCCAAGAAGAGCTCTTCCGCTTCTTATAGTCCCAGCATCAGAACAAAATCACAAAAGAAAGGCCCAAAATAAAGAGAGAGAGAGAGAGAGAGAGAGAGAGAGAGGAGCAAAAAGATAGCTGAGTGCGAAAAAGATAGCTGAGAGAGAAAAGTGTTAAGTAGGTAATAAGACAATATTTATAAATATTGTTATATTTGGCCAATAAATTTTTAAAGGATAGTATTTTGCCCAATTTCCCAAAAAAGAAATCAAGAATAGACCAAAATTCAACTAGTAAGACTAGATTTTCCAACAATTTAACTTTATATTTACGGGACCTAACATATACTCACTCATCTAGATTAGGGCTAACGACATTTTAGACCTTGTAGGTTATAACATTTGATCAATTTACAAAATGTGTAAATTGATCAAATGTTAAAACGTTAGGGTGCAAATTGATAAAATTCAAATCCCTTGGCGCATTTCGATAATGCCCCTAAACCTGCAGACAATATGTTAGAAAACCACTAGATACCAAAAACTTATACTATTTTGGAAATAGGCCGCCAATATATGTCAAGCTAACAAGTTAAGCATTACTTTGCACCTTGCAAACCAACAATGTATGATAAGAACGGCAATTAAAGATTTCGAACTCAAGAACTCCCAGAATCAAAGCTCTAATACTATATTTGAAATCACACGACTGCAAAAACTAAGAGGATGCCAACCAATCTAGGATATAAGTACAATGCAAGTGCCTACGAAATTTGTGGAAGAGAGAGTCTAGCATGAAATAAAAGAGCTTGTCGAGTTAGCCAAGGTGCTTGCCTGAGGACCAAACTAGGGGTTTTCAGATTTTGATTGATTACCCCCTTTAGAAGGCTGTAGGCAAGTCATCCTTGGCTACCAAACTAAGCTCCTTTTTTCATGTTTGACATCTCTTCCTTTTGAATATTGTGATTAATATTCTACAAATGGGATGCCAATACAATGTTTTGAGCTCTCTATTTATAGCTAATGAGAAATTCTTATTCGTTCATATTCAGCTCCCCTCTCATCAATTTGCCTCGTCCATTAGCATTTTTTCTACTCACTTTTTACCATCAAATCTTGGTGCATCGTTTGGCTGGTCGTAATGGAATATATATTATGAAGGCTGCAATGCTACCACTATGTCCACTGCTTTTCATCAAACATTCCTTGTGCTTTGAGGATCGACTTAATTTGCGGGGACTTATAGCTTCAGTAATAGAGCACTTATTCTCTTATATCTGGAGCACGAATTTAATTCTTGTTTTCCTAAATCCTAAAATGATCTCTAAATATGTCTCTGCAAACAAGCATATAGCTAATCAACATTTGGGATGATAATTTGATTATTGTCACTGAGTGTAGCTAGGGCACCCAAATAATTAGCTGATTAAGTCTAAGTAATTAACTTGGGATGGTAAAGCACAAAATCTATGCAAACCTGATTTCTATCTTTCACTTTATATATGGGAACTTGATTCCAACATCATGCATATCAATTCATTTGAGATGCCCCATGCCACCTTCAAAGTAAAGTCAAGGCGATTTCCACTAAAAAGAGAAAGGTTTTGCCCTTATTGACTTTGTGTTTGAGGCTCACATCAGGCAAACATATGATTAAAAGGGGTTTGTTTTCTCAAAATTCCTTTTCTTTTTTTGCTCTGAAACCACGAGGTGGTCCTAGATGGGCCCCAACTATGGGTGGCACCTTTAAGCCTTAACCACAACCCAGACTAATCCCCGCTCACACCGGGTCGGCCCGTAAAGGGTAAAGTGCTGACCAAAGTGGTGACTCCATACGAGAGCAGGGATCGAACCCCTGACCTCTCTTAAGGAATGAGAGTGCCGAACCACTCAAACCAACCACCTTGGTTAATTCCTTTTCTTTTTCAATTGGATGCTCACATACCTTTATTGATTTGGGCTTTCCCAGTTCTCTTGCAGCCATGCTTTAAAATATTGCATCAATTCTTGTTTGATATATTTATTTAAAAACTCATTTTAGCGTGACATATTGTACAAAAATCCTTATAGAGCCTATTTGGAGAGAAAAACTCAAAACTAGCCACTTGTCATGGTCTAATTGGCTAAAATTTTATAAGAACCAATTAGAAAATGACAAGTTGCTAGTTTTGGCTTTTTCCCTCCAAATAGATTCTATAAAAAAAAAAATTGTATAATATGTCATGTTAGAATATGCCTATTTGTGGAAAGCCGTTGGTAATGAAGTATGTATGTACAATAATATTCGTATGTTGGGGTTTTGAGCATTTGCTTTAAACGTCCTTTTAGTTGACTTCTTCTTTTTCACTCACGAATTTAAGAAATCTCTTTTAACTGGCCCTTTAGCAGCTAGAGAGTTCATAATGTTGAGTAAAAAATCTGTATTTATTTTGCTTTTGCATTAACTTGTCGCAGTTGTAGTTGAAGTGAAGAAATGTCTTCTACTGTATACTTAACAAGTTATGTTGCAAATTATGAACCTGAATGGTACATTCAAACACAATTTTACTTCACAAATTATTCATATTTGCATTATGAAAATGTAATATGTCAAATTGGCTAAAAAAAATTTGTGGTATAAGATATTTTGATTGTACATTATGAAAATGTAATGCGGACTCACTGTATTGACCAACTGGCATAACTCACATATGTTGAATCGCATTTCAAATCACTCCATTCAAATAAGTTCTGATTAATAGTATTGTGTTTTGGGGAGCTTCTATAAGGAAGAGTGTAAGAAGCTCCTCACTCTAAGCATTTCCGTTGTGTGTTGTGGTGCAGAATTGTTCTGAATAGTAAGCCCATAAGTTAAGAAACAATTACTCTGCGCCCAGGTAACGCAACCCAATCTTCATTTATAGCCATGCGGCTATACGTTTCTTTATAAAAAAATACATGTATAGCCGCACGGCTTTACAAGGGTCTTTTTTTAATTTTTTTAAAATAGTATCGCCAGACGGTTGTACTCCTTCAAAATCTAATATACTTAAAGCGTATAGCCGCGCGGCTCTATTACGATTTTTTATTATAAAAAAGTGAATACCCCTCCGGCTATACTCTTTTTGACACCTCTCTGGCAGGGCTGTTTTTTTTTTAACAAATAGTATTGCCTAGCGGCTATACTCGGCATCTTTTTTATAATAAAAAAAGCAAATAGCCATGTGGCTTTACGAGGGTCGTTCTTTAATTATTATTTTTTATAAATAGTATAACTGCACAGCAATACTCTTGTAAAATATAATATACTTAAAGAGTATAGCCGCGCGGCTATATTGTTTTTACACGTGGGCACTAGTGCTAGTCGGATCTCCTTTTTTAAGAAAATAGTATAGCCACGCAACGTTACTGGGGTCCTTTTATTTTTTATTTTTTTTATAAATAGTATAGACGAGAGGCTATACTCTTTACATAGATACTATGATCTTTTTCTTTATATTGTTTTTCTCCAATTTTTGTTTATCGATAGTTTAGAGCATTATCCATTACTATTAGGCCATTACCCGAGTCTTTATTGTCCCCTTTGAAGTCTTTACTTTTCCAAAGTTATTATCCGTATAAAGAATTTAGCATTTTCATGTTTAATACTTGTATTGTATATATACGTATGTATTTTTCATGTTTAATACACTTGGTTTTTTACAAAATTTTCAATAATACACACAAAATGCACGTGTGGGTCTATATGTGTAGCTATGCTGATCTATGTGGAGGTTGACTATCCTCGTGTTGGCCATGGTCGTTCGTTATCAGTCCTCGTGGCGGTGGTGGCGGCACTGTGTGCTCGGTCTTAATTTTTGTGTCACTTTTGTATCAAGACACTTTAATGCCCCTGTTTTTGTTTAGTTTTCATTTTCGTTAGGGGTTCTTATCCTTTAGCTAGTCCGGAGCTTGGTTCTAGTGGATTCTCCCCCTTTTGTATTTGTTTCTCTTGCTGTTCTAGTTGTGTATTTATTGCTCTTTTAGGTTTATTAATGCACTGATTTCGACCCAAAAAAATCTATAAAGATTAACCACTAATATATGTATGGTTGTAAATTATGAAAGCCACTGCCGGCTGGCCTCAAAGAACTTCCACGCAGCCACAAAGGTCATAATGAAGATGACACTCATGTTGGGACCCAACCCAAGTGACTGGAATTATCTTTATTTGTATTTTACTTTATTTTTGTGCCAATAGAAAGTATTAAATTGAGTAATAATGAATGAAAATTCTGATCAAAATTTGAAATAAACAAGAAATTAATTAGCTTTACATTTATACAATATTATGCATTAGACACAGAATTCATATCTCTCTTAGACCTGGCAAAATCCCACACGACACGATAACACGACACGAATTCGCACGAAAAATTCAGTATTCGGGTTGGAGTTATCGTGTCGTGTTGTTATCGTGTTGACCCGTTAACCACCCGTTAAGCTAACGGGTCGTTTCGGTGTCCATTCGCGAATACACGAACCAACCCGTTAAGCGGGGGTAATTTTGTAATTTTCTATTCTAAAAAAAAAATACCTTAACTTAACCCTAGCATCTCTTCATTTTGCCGCAGCTTTCTTTTCTTTCTCTGCAGTTTTCTTTCTCTCTCTCAAGTCCTCATCTTCTCCTTCTTCTTGCGATCTCTCCTCTCTCTGTCTTTGAAGATCTTCTCTGCTGCCAAATCCTCTCTTAAGGTAAATTTATTTGATTTTCAGTTTGGAAATTATATATTTATGTGGACTTTGGAAATTATATATTGATGTACTGGGAGTCTGGAACTTGGGATTTGCTTGAGACACACAGTACGCGGGAGAAGAAAGAGGAAATTAGGGGAGAGAGAGAGAAAGAAAGACAAAGAAAACATTAACAATTTAACAAATGTTCAGCTTTTCCATTCAACGTTGGAAACTTGGAATGGCCCAACTTCAATTTTTTTTTAATTTTTTTAATTTATAAATATTATATATGTGTTTTATGACTACGACTTTCCACCTATATCCAACCTTGTATTTTAATTTAGTGTACAGTTTCAAACAATTTGATCTTTGTATGGTTTTGGGTTGTATTAATATTATTTATTTTTATGTATAGAATTGATATTAAGAGAAATATTAGAGAAGAATTTTTATGTACATTTCACAACAATTTCTGTGAGTTTAGAATTTTCATACTAACTGCTGTCTAACAATATCTATATCTCTTTGTTTTTATTTTTGAAGGAGATGAATGTTACAGAAAATAGCCCTACCAATGCTATTGATATTAATGATGAGGAGTCAGTTGACATTTCAATGGGTATTGATGCAGCAAATACTGAAAATACAGAAGAGAAAGAGTTAAGCCCTACAAAGAAAAAAGTTAGAGCCAATGTGGGTAAGCGTAGACTAAGATCTCCTGCTTGGGAATCATTTGATTTACTGCCCGTTGATGAAGATAACAAAAAACGTGCTAAATGTAAACATTGTGGGGTTGTATATGTGTGTGATAGTAGGTATGGGACAGGAAATTTGTTGAATCATGCTAAAAATTGTGTTAAGAAGCCTTATGGTGATGTGAAGCAATTACTTATGTCATCTTCAGGATTGCGTTCCCCGCAATTTGATTATGTGAAATTTCGTGACTTGTTAATAGAGGCGATCATCAAGCATAATTTGCCTTTTAGTTTTGTTGAATATGAGGGAATTAAGGCTTTGTTTGCATATGTCTCTCCTGATATTAAGCTGCCATGTAGAAATACTGTTAAGGCATGTGTGTTGAGGATGTTTAAAAGTGAAAGACAAAAGCTTCATACTTTGTTAAGCTCAATTCAGGGAAGAATTTGTTTAACTTCAGATTTATGGACCTCTGTATGTACTGATGGGTATCTTGCTCTTACTGCTCACTTTGTTGACCAAGATTGGAGATTGCACAAAAGAATTATAAATTTTTGTCATATGCCTCCTCCACATTCTGGTGTTGCATTATCTGAAAAAATCAATACATTAATAACTGAGTGGGGGATTGAGAAGAAGTTGTTTTCTATTACTTTAGATAATGCTTCTGCAAATACTTCTTTTGTTGAGATTTTGGCGAATCAATTAAACTTTAGAGGTCTTTTGTTGATGAGTGGCAAGTTTTTTCATGTGCGTTGTTGTGCTCACATTTTAAACTTGATAGTCCAAGATGGACTTAAGGAAATTGAAAAAATGAGGAACTTCAAGTCCACAAATAGTTATTTTACAAGTATTGATATGGGAGATCTTCTTGTCCCAATTCATTGAAAATGAATTTAGGAATATGTAAACCTTAATTGACTATAAATATAATATAGTATGCACCAATAATTTCCTCATATCACTTAGAACTTTTGGTTCTATAATTATCACATTTGTTCAATATTTAAACTTCAGGTTTAAATTATTATGATATGGACTTCAGGTTCCAATATTTGAATTAACAAAATCCCTTTTTCATTCAGGTACATGGTGCTAAAGTTGTTCACAATAAATTGAACACATTACTGTACAATGGGATTTACAGCTCAAACGAGACTACACAGCTTATGAGTGTCTTCAAATTTATAAACCATAACGGTGAGAGAACCAACTAATATTTGGTATTGATCAACGTGGTTCACGTTAACATTTAATCACCTTTTCACTTTGTGAACCATAAAATTATATATGTACATACACATATATAAAAGGATTTTCTTGCCTTTTTAGATGTATAGAAATTGTAGCTTCTGGCTCATTCCTTTACATGTATAGAATTTAGGATTTTCAAGTCCTTCATTAAATATATTGAGGATCAAGATCTTCGGGTCTTAATTCCCCCCTTTTTTTTCAACTCCATCATAATACACATAGAGTGTAACCTATATTATCTTTTCGTTTTGTATGAATGGGCATTGATTGCTTCTGGCAATTATGATTTCAGTTATATATATAAAATAACCATAAGTATCAATATTAAACGAAATTAACTAATAACCCAACATAAATAAAATAAAATGAGTAAAGTGGTATAAATGACGAATAAAATAAATAAATTAAAGACTATGAAATTCCAAGATAATATAATATTAATATGGATTCAATAGGTAGATAAAACTACAATTTTAAGAATTGGATTTCCAACCAATTCAGGTTCATATAGTTACAAATAAGTAATGAACTTCAGGTTCATATATAGTATTAAGATCCATGATAAACTATGAATTTCAGGTTCATATCAACATATATTCGAAACTTCAAATTCGAATACGTAGATCTAAATAAATTGAATTAATAGTTGTGCTTTGAACTTCATACTCAAATCGATGTATATGCATTTGAAACTTCTGGTTCGGGTTCTTGACATATGTAGACCTCATGGAATTCTGATTTTGATTAATACAAAATCAAGGAATTTCATGTCCTTATGTGCTCTTTAAATTCACGGAACTTCACAACCTCAATTATTTGGAATCAAAAAACTTCAGGTTTTGATTCAGTCAAAAGGGCTCTATGTCCTAATCAAGTTATATGATGAGGATCGAGGAACTTCAGGCCCTAATCTTTTGTATAATACAAACTCATTATAATAATTAAGATCATACTTAAGATCAAATAAACAAACAAATAAAAAAAACATGGCATTATATTCATGTGGAATAAGAATAAAGATTTTTTTTTCTTAAACGAGCATGATGAAGTCTGATGGTGAGTACAAAGAAACTCTATACCATGTGATGACTCTAGCTCATATAAAAAGAAAGAAAATTCAGAGAAAGAAAACATACCAAGAGCAACGTCGTGCTGATAACGTGTTATAAAACTAAGGGAAATTGTAGAGAGAATTGGAAAGTAGAGGAAGACAATAGAAATTGTTCAATCAACTTCACTTTCTCATCTTGATAAGACCTCTTATTTATAGGCTTACAATGGTAAAAAGACATTAATAACTCATAAGTTACAAGCCCATAACTATGGTATTTAGTGTATATGTTACATAGAATTAGAAAGGGTGAATGCTAAGAGGTATGGTGGTCATCCACCAACTCATGCATTTACAACATCCACAACTTTATTAAATTGTTTAAGTCTAATTTTTTTTTTATGGATAACTTTTCTTCATTCAATCTTTTTAAATAACTTCATAATTAAATTTTTTGAACAATTTGACCTAAAAAAATTGAAATTCCACAAATATAATTTGACCTAGATTAATTTAAAATATTATTTTGACCATTGGATTTAAGTTTCAGCCGTTGGATTTTTTTTTTTTACCATTAAAATAGTTTATATTTAATCTAGATCGTTGATTTAAGTTACATTTAGAATATAAAAAATAAAAATAAAAAACCAAATAGCAACAGCAGCTTGACAAGTGGTGGGACAAGCAGACAAACTTGAACAGCACAGCAGGTCAACTGGGGCCCACGTTAGATTCTGTGCAAATGGGGCTGTTTTAGGTGCAGTGGGCTCCATTGAATAGTGTTGGGTCCATGCAATACTTGGACCCATATTTGGGTCCAAATTTGGGTTTCTCCAAATTTTGGGTCCTTCATTTTGTTTGATTGGGGGAGATTTGGGGCAATATTTTGGGTTTGGGTCTTGCATTTGAGATGACCTTAATGCACTTATTACGACCGAAAAAAATCTAGAAAGATTAACCACTAATATATGTATGGTTGTAAATTATGAAAGCCACTGCCGGCTGGCCTCAAAGAACTTCCACGCAGCCACAAAGGTCATAATGAAGATGACACTCATGTTGGGACCCAACCCAAGTGACTGGAATTATCTTTATTTGTATTTTACTTTATTTTTGTGCCAATAGAAAGTATTAAATTGAGTAATAATGAATGAAAATTCTGATCAAAATTTGAAATAAACAAGAAATTAATTAGCTTTACATTTATACAATATTATGCATTAGACACAGAATTCATATCTCTCTTAGACCTGGCTTAGAGCATCCAACCCTCAAGTTTTTTTGTTTTGTTTTTTTAGGAACCAAACACACACACACACACACACACACATATATATATATATATATATATATTTCTTCTCCTACGGACGTTCGAACATAATTACCGGATGCATGCACATGTATAAATATATGAAGAAATTAAGGAGGAGAAAGAGAGACCCTGATTTCGGCTGCAGCAGGGTCCTTGGGTTTGGGTTTAGGAGGGGCTGAATTGATGGAGCCGTATTCATGAGCAGGCCTAGGAGCTTGCTCTCCTCTTGCAACCTTGTTCACATCTCTGGCTCTCATCTCGTTATGTGGATCTACTTGGGAAGCCGCCGACATCTCTCTCTCTCTCTCTCTCTCTCTCTCTCTCCCTCTCCCTCTCTCTTGATGATGCTCTGCTCTGGAATTTGCCCAGAACACGGATTTATATATATATATATATATATATGCTTTTATGTGTCTATTATAGCAGCTACGTTTATGTGTTTTTATTCTATTTTCCTGTGCAAAGCCACGTTGCAACGACAGAAGACACTTGTTGATTGCCAAGGTAATGATCTGTCCCTGTGTGGTAGACCATGCAATTCTCGTATTTTTTATTATTTGTCTTTTTCTTGTTTAATTAGACCCAACGGCTACGCTAAAGTGTTTATGACGTACAAAATAAATGAATAATTACTTAATTATATCACTTTAAATTTGTGATAACCACATTAGCACAAGTCCTATGGATCTTACAAGCCACATTAGGGTTTAGTATGAAAGGTAACTTCTTTTTCTGTCATTTTAGGTTGCTTAGGCTTTCACACTCGTAGCTTAAAAATGTGGAATTTTAAAGACCAAAGCCAAAACCTAAAATGCTCAATTCTTTGTATATTCATTTCATTGAAATATTGGACAATGAAATTTGATATTGTTGTACCTTAAGGAGATCATCTTTTAAGTATTTAAAATGACAAACCCCTTATGGTGATACCTGACTTTCTTAAGGCCGATTGAATGAGTCCAAGAACCTCTTAAAGCAAAAAGTCCAAAAAAATGGATAAAATTGAAGTAAAGAAGGCCCACAAGATGGACTGGCACAAATACTAGGCTGACAAGCCCATGGAACGAACAACCAAAGGTCTTAACCGACATTGGCTATTGCCCAAGAAATGAGCAAACCCTATAAATTGAGCGACGTAGTACTAACCGTCCACCTTGAAATAGCCTGTCAACATATATACTGTGGTGGGCATAATTTCAGGTCAACCCAACATAACTGCCCAACCCAATCATAGTGGGTTGTGTTTGCCTAAAAATGAACAAGTCTTGGGTTCAAAATCATAACCCGCTATGTACAGATTTGGTTATGGGTTGGAACTAAAACTTAAAAATATGCTTAATTTACCCGACTGAATTGTCAAATCCGATCACAAAAAGCTTGAGTTGGATTGGCCTAATAATGAACATGTCTTGGGTCCAAGAAATCATAAACCGCTATATATCAAGTTTGGTTATGGGTTGGGACTAAAACCGACCCAACCTAACTCATACCCACCCCTAATATACGCCACTAATCCTACATTGAAGAAAACCAAAAGTGGAAAGAATCACCCCTATAAAAGCACTATTGTACTTGTGCTTGAAAGGTACACTAAATGCATCTTTCTCACAATGGGGGCTAAAAATGGTGGATAGAGACCCATTTAGAGTTCAGATGGAATATTCTAGAATTGAAAGGTATCTTTCCCAAAATGGGGGCTTTATAGGTATTTTTTTATTGCATATATTGTATTGTATTGCATAGACATCAAGTTATTTTTATTCATTTTGTGCATTAGTGGGCTGCACGTACATTTAATTGAGGAGAGTAAAAAAGAGATCACATGGGTCAGCATTAGGGCTGGGCACGGTCCGGTTCGGCCCAATTTTGAGTCCAAATTGGAACTGAAACTGGTACTGTGCATACAGTCCGGTCCGGTCTGATTTTTATACAAACTGATAGTAGAACCAAACCAGACCAGATTGGTTACAGTCCAGTTCGGTTCCCGGTTCTCAACGGTTTGGGCTTGCTGGAAGGCCCATTTAAGTTTTTTGGGTTTTTAAACTTTAAAACAACCTGAATTTTTAAATTGTTGGGCTTACATAATAATTGGCCCAATTTTTACACCACAATTGGCCCAAATACTGAAACTTTTAACAAAACAAAGACATAAAATGATAAGTTCAGCAGTAATCAAGTCTGCCAAATTAAACTACAGCAAAGTTGAGCAGCAAATTAAATTACACAAAGTTGAGCAGCAAATTAAATTACACAAA